GTGGGGTGAGAATATAGAATGAGAAGAATCTAAATATAACGTTAACCTCCATGTTTATGCCATGATTGGGTAAGATCTAAGAAGAACTTCCTTATATTCGGAATAAATAGTTTCAGAAAGATGCACTAGCAAAATCATCCTAACTTCATGGACTGCCAATAAAAGATAAAAGAATTCAGGAAGAAACAATGGCCCACTGTCAGGAAAACAGCATTTTTAAAAAACAAAATCCAAAAGAAAAGAGTGCCAGGATCTAAAGTATTTCCTGAGAATGTGAACTATAGTAAGTATTTTTCAATTTGAGTGTTATAATAGAAGCTCTACTCCCAGCAGAGTCATCACTCAGCTGGGAAGTATTGCCAGCATCAGGAGTTATTGCCAAAATAGACTTAGGAGGCTCAAGGACGGACTTCTGTGATTTCAGCCCCTTATCAGGCCTTCATTCAGCAAGGTGATACAAATATAATGGTAACAAATGGAATGAACCCTTATTCTTTTACCAATAAAATATAAAATTGTCTCCTTATTTAGCAAACGATTGAAAGAAAAAGCATATTACCTAAATTAAATAGCATTGATATCACCGTCTCTTGCTTAAAAAGGGAAGAGAACGAAAGTTGAAGTCCTAAAAATAATCTGACATTTATAACATTCCTAAAATATAAATTAATTCAAGTACAGAAACTGTTTAAAGCTGTCACATTCTTTATGTAGTATCTCATGCTATATCATTTCAAAAATGCCCAGAAAAATGTGACATGCTATATAAATTCTTTAAGGACAGAAACAGTAATTAGGTACTTTTATATCCTCTACAGTGTCTAGCACTGAGAGTACAATGAATACACATTACTTCTACCTCACAAAAATAATTCAAAGACTGTAACAATATATTTATATTGTATATCTATATATCTATACAAACAAAAGTTTTGGAAGTATTCTCTCTCTCCACCCAAAACATACTTCTTTCTTTCTCCCAACTTCCCAAATCTAAACAGTCCTTTGCAGTGCAACTCGAGTGTCTAAGCCTTCTTCAGTGCCCTCCAGTGAAAGTCACCGTGCTCTATAATAAATTCCTAATCACACAGGGCATATTCAACCACATTTTTTGGTCACTCTTTGCTTTCTTCATGGGTGATGTCATTCATTCAGACATCAATAATTATTAACCTAAATAACTGTCTAAATTAATTTATTAGATTAATAAATTAATCTTAAAATTTCCATTTTTATTAATGTTCTTTTCAATAAGCTGAATAAAAATTGTTCATCAGAGTCTTGTAGTATAGTCTTAGATAAGTAACTGTGGGAGAATTAAACACTGAGAAACCTATGAAAAAGCATTTTTATCATTTATTAGTCAACAAATATATATATTAAAAATCTATGTGTACTGGATATAATGCAAGGGATGCAATGATGAATAAAACAAAACTAGCCCCTATCTTCACAAAGTTTAAAAGTATAGTATACGTGTATCATATGTCTTTCAGATAGTAAATCTTGAGGACAGAGTTTTGATCTATTGAAAGATCATATACCCATTGGTAACTCACAAAGGCCTGGTATCATTGTCCCTATCAACAGACGCAGAAAAAGCATTCAATAAAATCCAGTACCCACTTACGACAAAAACTCTCAGCAAAGTGGGAACAAAAGGATCATACCTCAACACAATAAAGGGCAAACAGGACAAACCCACAGCCAACATCATACTCAATGGGCAAAAACTACAAGTGTTCTCCTTAAGAACGGGAACAAGACAGAGATGTCTACTCTTACCACTTTTATTCAACATAGTTCTAAATGTCCTAGCCAGAGTAATCGGGCAAGAGAAAGAAATAAAAAGCATCCAAACTGGGAAGGAAGAAGTAAAAATGTCACTGTTTGCAGATGACATGATTCTTTCTATATAAAACTCTAAAGAATCCACCAAAAAATTATTAGAGACAATAAACAAATACAGCAAAGTTGCAGAATACAAAATCAATGTACAAAAATCCACTGCTTTCCTAATACTAACCATGATACTTCAGAAATAGAAATGAAAAAAACAATTCCTGTTGCAATTGCAACAAAAATAATAAAATACCTAGGAATAAATTTTGCAAAGGATGTGAAAGAAAACTACAAAATATATACTGAAAACTACAAAATATTATTAAATGAGATGGAAAAAAGACAATAAAATGGAAAAATATTTTGTGTTCATGGATTGGAAGAATCAACATAGTTCAAATGGCCATATTACCCAAAGCAACATACAGATGTAATGTGATCCCCATCAAAACCCCAATGTCATTTTTCAAAGAAATAGAACAAAAAATCATCACATTTGTATGGAACCACAAAAGACCCCGAACAGCCAAAGCAATCCTGAGGAAAAAACAACAAAGCCGGAGTTATCACAGTGCCTGACTTTAAATTACGCTACAGAAACTACGATAATCAAAACAGCATGCTACTGGCAGAAAACAGGCAAGGGAACAGAACTGAGATCCCAGAAATAAAATCACAGGTAAATGGGCTAATAATTTTTGACAAAGGAGGCAAAAACATAGAAAGAAAAGAAAGCCTCTTCAATAAATGGTGCTAAGAAAATTGGAAAGCCACATGCAAAAGAATGAAAGTAGATTACAGCTTGTACCCATGAACAAAAGTTAATTCAAAATGGACCAAAGATCTAAATATAAGATCTGAAACAATAAATGAAGAAAACATAGGTATTAAACTTATGGACTTTGGCCTTAGAGAACATTTTATGAATTTGACCCCAAAGGCAAGGGAGATAAGGGCAAAAAGAAATGAATGGGACTATATATCAAACTAAAATGCTTCTGCACAGGAAAAAACTGCCACCAAAACAAATGTGAGATGATATTTGCAAACAACATCTCCACCAAGTGGTTAATATCCAAAATATACAAAGAACTCACACAACTCACCACCAAACAAACAAATGAATAAAAAATGGGCAGAGAAACTGAACAGACACCTCTCCCAACAAGACATACAAATGGCCAACAGACATACAAAAAGATGTTTGACTTCACTAGTTATTGGGGGCATGCAAATCAAAACTACAATGAGATACCACCTCACACCTGTTAGAATGGTTATTATCAACAAGACAGGTATAACAAGTGTTGGAGATGCTGTGGAGAAAAAGGAACCCTCGTTCACTGCTGATGGGAATGTAAACTGGTATAGCCACTATAGAAAATAATATGGAGGTTTCTCAAAAAATTAAGAATAGAGTGAGCATATGACCCAGTAATCCCTCTTTGGGGTATCTACATGAAAAACTCAAAAACATTTATTCATAAAGATATATGCACCCTTATGTTCAATGCAGCATTATTAACCAGGGCCAAGACATGGAAATAACCAAAGCATCTTTTAATGGAGGACTGGATAAAGATGTGGTACACATACAACGGAATACTACTCAGCCATAAGAAACGGTGAAATACTGTCATTTGCAACAGCATGGGTGGACCTTAAGAATACTATGCTAAGCGAAGTAAGTCAGAGAGAAATAAGAATCTTTTTTAGCCAAAAGTAGAAGGACCCAAGTACCTATCAACTGATGGATAAATCAAATATAGTATATCCATGTGATGGAATACCATTTGGCAATAAAAAGGAATAACATACTAGTACATACCACAATATAAATGAACCTCAAAATTATTATGCTAAGTGAAAGAAATCAGTCGCAAGACCACATATCGTATGATCCCTTTTATATAAAACGTCAGAATAGGCCACTTTAGAAACAAAGTAAATTAGTGGTTGCCTACAGCTGGGGGATTAAGGGAAAATGTGAAGTAACTGCTAATGAGCGTGAGGTTTCTTTTGGGGGTGCTAAAAATGCTCCAATATTGATTGGAGTGACGGTTGTACAACTCTGTGACTATACTAAAAATCACTGAATTACACACTTTAAAGGGATGAATTGGATGGTATTTAAAATATACTCCGGTAAAGCTGTTATAAAGAAATGCATACGGCCCAGAATCTGAGGGCTGCAGCAAGAATGCACATGGGAAGAAATATTTGTATTACGTGAATCACCACCACAGATCACCTCACTGCAGAGACTGTTGAACCAGAAATAAAGTGACTTGGTTCTAAGACATAAATTTATAAAATACATCCTGTTTGCTTTTAAGAATCTTTTTAAGAAGCCACAAATATCTCAGCTGGCATAGAGTTAGCTATAAAACTTCTCTGGGCCTAAATAATAATCTTATTTTAAAATTAATTGTCTAGCTGTGAATAGGGAACAATATCTAATAATGGTAAGAATAACAATAATCAGAATTAGCCTCATGACACAGCTGCAAATAGAATTCATAAGATGTGTCAGACACTGTAATGGAATGACATACATCATATCCAACCCTCTCAACAATCGTATAATGAAGATGAGAAAGTCGGGATTTAGAGACATTATGTGTCTTGCCTATTCAGGGGTCAGGAAGCAAAGCAAGGTGTGAATTTAAGACAGCCTGTCTCTAAAAGCTGTTATCTTATATCATACTACCGCCTATCTTCAAGAAGGAATAAAGCTTCGAACCAGACAAAAATAACAAGAGATTGGCCACAAATATCCTAATATGAAATTTCAAAATCTTAAAGCTTAAAGGAACCTCAGAGAACATCTACACGATTACCTCATTTTACAAATGAGACCACACTGTCTTTACAGTCTCCGATCAGCCTTGGTTATTTTATTTCCACTACTCTCTGGTCTCCAATATGCTTTCAGGCTATCTGGAAGTCTTTTCTGGTAGAATCAGTATAAATCAAATGAGGAATCATAGGAGAGCTAAGTTAAAGAATGTCATGGATTTGCTGAATAAACTCCTCAAAATTCATCTTTTTAGACTGTAATAACAATAAAAAATAAATGTTCTGTTACTTGCCTCATATGCAGAATTCTGGTTACAGAGAATTTGTAATACTGATTTATTGCTGCTTTGAACTCTTACCTTTGTGACCACAAGAAACACGGTATAGAGGAACACAAGATTATGTCTTGATATTGACAGATGTTCAGTGTGCTGAAATGTGAAGATAATTGACCCCAGCAGGGTTACCTTGGCAGGGCTGAAAATAAAACACACTTTAAGTCAGTAAGTATTAAACATGATCTATGTCTGTATTTCTCAGAGTACCCTACAAAATACTAATGTGTTATTAATAGATGTAACACAAAAATGAGTTCTGTGAATAAACTTATAAAGCTTTTGAAATGCTAAGTTATATAAATTAAATACCTTTCTTAACAGCATAAGGTATTAGAGATTTTAGAATGTTAATGCATACTGTGACTCTCTGATAGAGTACATTTCTAGATGCAATATTTCTGAAACATATTTGACCATATAACACTTTCTCACAAAGGATTTGAAAGTCCCATGTTCCACAGCATAATTTGGGAAAAGTAGATTAGTCCTGAAAAACTTTACAGTGCTAAGCAGGCTCCCTGGGTGGGATGGGGGAGGAAAAACAAAGCCCTAATTACTATTTTCTCATTTCCATTGTGTAAATATTCCCATCACAACAAACTTCAGGCTGTGGTGTAAAACAGAGAGAAGTTGTACGCAATTGGCTCTCATAAAACAGTACAAGCTAACTCCAACACAGTATTACTTAGCTAATTTCAGCACAGAATATTTGCATTAGGTCATATCCTAATAAATTAGTGCTGAACATTTAAAGTCTGTAAGATGCTAACCTACAAATAAGAAGCACTACTTTCATGTCATATATTTAAAGTATATCTTAGTAACAGATCCATTGTCTAGCTCTTTATGATTACAACTAGAAGAAGATAAATAAAATAAACTCTTAAAATGCCTCTTTGCAAAATATGACATTTAAAAGCCCCTATAAGCATTTTATAGAAAAATAAGCTACTAATTTAATTAGTACAAGCTACGAATTGAGTTCAAAACAGGGTTAGGTTTGGGCAACAGGAGTTTGGACTTTGCTTAACAACGATTGGGCAGCATTCCTATTTTGAAAAAGTGAACTAAGCTTTTGACTGTGTGTCTCTATTGGTAAAAAAGTATTTACGACACTCCCTAAAATGTTTATCAATTAATTTGTAAATTATACACATGTACAACTACATTATAAAAGGTACACTAAATTGACATTTTAACAGGATAAGATTTTTTAAAAAATGAAATCAGGTTTGTCTTCATGTGATCGTGCCCCTCGGTGTTTCCAGCAGCTCGGTTTCTGCGCCACGGCGCCTCATCACGGCGCCCTCTTAGCGTCCACCTATTCCATTCTGGGCTGTGTTCTCTTAGAGCATAAATCCTGAGGCGATGAATATGATAAGCAAGGACTGTAGATAACAAATTGGGGCAGGTAACTGGAAATTGGCTGGGATTTAGGAAAAAGTCAGTGAGATTGGGTAGAAAGACCAGGAAGCATTCAGAAAATCCTTACAGTAGTTTCTACTAAATGAACTATCTGCTTCCAAAATAACACTGGTGGAATAGGCACAGGATAAGATATAGACATTCCCATTCCAAAAAAGAGAAGTAAGTGGTCACTGTTCCTACACAATTTCAAAATCCAGCAGGGCAAATTCCATTAGATTTTGAGGCCTGGGAATAATCCTCTGTGGCTCAAGACTGTGTCCTCTGAGTCTGCAGTTCCAGCCTCTGCACTCCCGGCTCTGGCCTTTGCACCTGTGACTCCAGGCCGTGTGCCTGGCCTCAGGCCTCTAGGCCCATAGCTCTCGCCTTAAAGTCATTCTTCCTTTTCCTTGAAGGGTAGCACATGTTTGCAGCTGAGCAGTTTTATCAGCCTATTTCCTGCCTGTAGAATTCTGGGAGTCTGACAGCATTTTTTTTATTTCATCTCATCTCTGCCCCTTTCAGTCCAAGCTGGCAATGTTTCTAGTGATACAACATTTGCAAAGACCTTGTGGTCTCTGGTATATGACACAGGGATCCATGCCATTAGCCATAAAGGTCCTTTACAGATCCTTCCTGGATACTCCCATCTCTAGTCCTGGTTTCTGCTGTGTCAGCTGAATGGGTCCCTGCATCACATGCCTAAACTCTTTTACCGTTAGCAAAAGTTACCCAGCGACACCCCTGACTTTCTTTCCACAGCAGGCTTTCCTAAGAATGAGTCTCCTAATTGTATCATCTTTTGCAATCTAGATTGGCTGAGAACTTCCTAAATCATCAAGTTTAGGTTTCCTTATTTCGCAGTTATTCTCTCAATTCAAATCTTTCCTCTCACACTTTATTATAAGCCATCAACGCTTCTAAATCTCCTCAGCTAAATATCCAAGTTCCTTGCTTACAATTACACTTTCTACAATGCAGCTAAGTTTCTGCCACTATGTAACTGAATCATCTCTCCAGTTTCTAAAGTCATGTTCTCCATTTCCTTCTGAGCCCTCTAACATTCATATTTCTACCAACATTCTGTTTATGAAAATCTATGTGTTCTCTAAAACCAAATAGGCTTTCTCTGCTATGCAAAAGTATTTGGTAATAGATATGAAAACTTAAATATATACACACATACACAAAATATCATAATAGACAAAAATCTTAATTGCCTGACAACTTGTCAACCATTCACTCATCTAATATTTATTGAGTGTCTACTATGTGGTAGGTGCTTGAGATACAAAAACAATCAAAAAAGACAAAAATCCCTGTCCTTGGTATCTTATATTCTTTGAAGTACGGGGGAAGCCAAAGGGAGCGGAGAATAAACACGGTAAGTAAATTATAGAATATGATAAATACTATACAAAGGAAAGAATAGAGAAGGAAATGCTCCAATTTGAAGCAGGACAGTTCTCACTGAGGAGGTGAGCTTTGAGAAAATACTCTGAGCAAAGTAGACAGGGAGGCAGCCACCTGAGAAAAAAGATTCTAGCAAAGAGAAAAGCTGGCGTTAAGCCAGACCACACCTGGCTTTTTCAAGAATATAGTGAACAAGGTAGTAAGAGGGGAAGTCAAAGCAAATTGGGTGTCGGGGAGAGGCAGATCTTGGAGGGCCATTTCAGGGAGTCACTGTGAGGTTTTGAACAGAGGAGAATGTAATTTAACTTCAGTTCTAAAGTTCCAAGAAATGGCTTGTAAGAGATGTTTCAAGGCATGCACTCAAAATGAGAAAAATTTTCTCTTAATTACACTAATGCTTTATTTATAACACATTATCAACCAAAGCCTTCCTTGTTCTATTTCTAAACTACCTCATTCAAGCTTTAAGAAGTACTTTCCAAGTTAAATATCTTGGAATTTGCTGGTTCTCAAACATACATTTCACCATCCACACTGCTTCTCAACCTTCCTTTTTAATCCATTCTAATGGGCTTATTTTCCCATGTAGTCTTTCCTTGCCTTGCTTATTATAGCTACTACTCCCTAAGTCTTTTCCTTCTTGAATTGTGGGAACAGTAACTGTACTCCTCCGCTTCATTCTCAGGTACATCAGGGATACATTTGTGACTTATTTAATATTGGGCCAGTGTCTTTATAGAACATCTAACAGTTAAATTTCCTTGAGTGAAAGGTAGTTTGCATTGAAGAAGTATAGAGTGCGTTATTTCCTCTAATCTTTTTCATGTTGCTATATATGATTAAGCTTAACTTTCATTTTTAAAGCAACTAATAGGACTTTATGACAATGTATTGATTTGTTCTCATAAGCATGACATTTTACTAACAGAGCTATGTAAATTTGAAATCTGGGTGGTTTCACTAATGAAAATGCCAAGAGATTGCAATTGAGATTCATTTCCATCCAGAGAAGTCTGTACCTACGTAATTCTCTCTCCATAAATTAATACTCTTCCCATAATTCTATAACAATCTAGAGGTTTTTGTTTCACTTCTGAAGGGGAGACACTCAAAGATAAATAAATCAGTATATATTTTAAAAACTACATTTGAGAGAGCACACTTTTTCAAAGAATAAAGTTTCCTGGGGGTTTTTCCCATGGTTGTTATTATTTCTTTTTTTCACCTATAGTTTTCCACACTTAGAATCCATAAAATGTTTTTAAAAAGAAATTTGGTGAAATCTAAGGACAAAAATACGGGTCTTAGTATAGTTCACCCCAACTCACTAGGACATTTTCAGCCATTCATCAGCTTGTGGTCTCCAACCTCCTTTTATCAACTGCTCAAAATTCGTGATTATGCTACCACCTGCACCTAAAAATAAGCAAATAAAACAAGAATATTTAGCCAAATTTTCTGGAGAAAAAATCTGAAACAAAGCCATAGTCTTATCTCTGGACTTACAATTCCAAGAGGATCCCCAAAGAAAAAAAGTTGCCTTGTATATTTATGGTGCAATTCTTCCCTTTCACTATCATGGCAACTGTCTATTATACTGTAATTAAAGTTAAAATCGGGTGGTCAGGCACAGAGATGTGGCTAGAAGTTTGTTTCAAACCTGACAAATAAAATTCTCTGCTCTATCACTTCCTTCCCTGATACTAGTTTTGGTTAAATACACCTCAAGAGGAGATTGGAGAAATTTGTCCACTTCCTACATAGCAAAGAATTCAACAATAAAGGTAAGTAATACAAAGTAAACAAGAACCTATATTCAAACATATTTACCATTTTCAGTCACTCAGAATTTAAAAACAGCAATTTTTTACATGTACCATATAATTTATGTTAACTTGTTTTATTTATGACGGCACCACACCTTATTTAATTATGAATCTGTCTGGCTCTAGGCCTGCTAATAAAACCAATCATAAAAATTTTGTAAAACAGTTGAGCTCAAAATAATGGCTAATGGCATATACTAGTGAAAAGTGCTGGTTCTGAATTAATTTTACTAGCTAACAGAAACAAGGCTTCTATCCTCCAAAAAGACTTTGTTATTAAAGTATGCGATCCCCATTAATGTAACTAGAGAATTGTTCAGTAGTAGTAGCACACCAATAACAGAATATTTATGAACACATACTGTTAATATTACCTCGGGCCCATCCAATAGCTATCATGACTATCCAGCCATTTTTGTAATAGCTATTAGCATGTGTGACTCCACCTACTATTTTCCAAGTTCTGGTCACTTCCTTCATTCCTGCAGCCAAGAGTTGAACAGGTAGGAAAGAATAGCCCTGGGAAACTAGGTCATGTGGGCAAAAAAAAATAATATACCTGAAATTAAAATTTAAATATTTTAATAGGTAAATAGAATCAGAACAAAAATAAAAATACAGCATATCAGCAATAACATTGGCAATACACAACAAACATATAAACATAAATGTAAACTCCATATAACCATGGAATTTGATCTCAAGAACACCACAGATTGAGCAGTGTCGGTTTTTTTAAAATAACATGAAACACATATAATAATCTGACAAAAAGTCATGATCAGAGGGGAATTTCATCTTGTTTGGACTACTGAATCATCTACGCAAAAAGGATTTATGGAGTTGCTAATCTGTGCCTATATTATTCTAGAAGCTAAGTGCTGAATCGACTAAAAAAATAAAACAAATGTATAATCACTTCTCTAGCTACAGTGCCTTTTTTTTCCTCTGGGAAAAGGAATTAGAAAAGGGTCCTTGGAACCTGAGCAAGGGCTGCATTTCAACCCCACTAACATCCTTACCTGTACCCCTTAGTGGAGTACATAAACTGCACCCTACACAATGAAAGGTCATAGCTCTCAAGGAGATTTGTGTTAAGGAAAAACATCTTCATATAGCTGAAAGAATATGAAAGTTGTTCTTCAGTTCAGTTGAGTAAGATTAAGTTTTAACCAATTAAAGCGTGATACTAGTTTAAGAATAATTCACTCCTCCTCGGGTGAATTATTTTTTGAAGCCTCATTTGTTTTAAGCATCTGTTCAAACAATTTAGCAGTAGTGTTAAATTGGAAAACACTCTACTTTTTTCCCCCTTGTTCCTAAAAATACTCTCTAGCTGACAATTTTGTGCTTAAAGCAGAACGTATCTTCTTTCTAATGGAGTGATATGAAACACACTGTATGAAAGAAGTATTATATTTCTTCTAAAAGAAGTTGTTAATCTTATTGCAATTCATGATTCATAAAGTAGGAATTCCCGAAAGTATTCATGGAATATGAAATCTACTTGCCAAAATATTGCTTCAGAGACCCAATATAAGATGAAATGGTTTGTTCAGCCTAAGGCACTCTTTCCTCTTTATCTCCACCTACCAATTCCTTCTTATTCTTCAACATCCCACTCAAATAGTACTATATACACTGACTCTGGGAGTTTTGTTTTATTTGATATTCTCAGTACAGACTAAATAAATTCTAATGGATCTATACAACTATAACAACTGATTCTTATGCCTAAACACAGACTGCTCTTAATACATTTTCCTTTATAATACACAGGGTAGGGCAAAAATAGGTTTACAGTTGTTCATATGGAAAATACAATAATTAATAAATAATAATACAAGAATAAACTCAGTTTTGCGTACTCACAAATGTAAACCTACTTTTGCCACACCCTGTAAAGGCTGAAACACTCATAATGAATTATAATAGACTTTAAATGGCAGAAATAATTCATCTTGTTTTCCCCTCACCTAAACCCAGCATGATGAAAAGTAGTCTTGAATTAAATCATTTATTAACACTTAATCTTGAGGCAAAATACAAAATATATCAAATCAAAGAATCAGTTGCTAATTTAAAAGTGTGAGAGAAAGAAATAAATTACTTAAGAGTAGTAAAAAGTTATTTGAAAATGACTGGCCTGATTTAAAAATTTTACATGTTCATATAGTATTTTGAAAGCCTCTATATACTTCTCTCTTTAAATATAGAACAAATTTCCAGGAAATCTGTTAGAGATTAGAAGGGAAATAAGTTACATTTAAACAAGCAATTTTAAAATGTATTTTTAAATAAAATTAAAATATTTTGGTATCTCCCATAGATCAGATTAAGAAAGAAGGATGGTTTCAAAACTAAAACACTCAAATAAACAACAAAAACAAAAATACGAATGACCCCATTTTTGTTCTCTACACTGAGACTATCTTCAACAAGTTAAAAACTTATACTATTACAAGGGCAATCTTGGACTTTTTATATTCAACTATGTAACATTATGACATACAATCTAAAATTTCTGCTTATTGTTATTTTTAATGAGTAAGTCTTTATTCCATTTAATCCTGTATCTCTAAAGTATACCTAAAATAAGCTAACACTTAAAACAGGATACAAGCTAACACTTAAAACAGAATACAGTTCCCGTTTCAAGTACTGAATAGTCACAGGGCAAAAGAAAAATTGTTGATTGTGCTCAGTAGACTTACAAGTAAACATATCAGACTAATGGCTCCATAAACAACCATTCCTGCTCTATAACACAAGGTAGTTTTTTAAAATTTCTTTAATGAATCACTCAACTCATATTCATTAAGCAATCATTAAGTCCTTCCTTCTGTAAAAATTATCATTTCACCTTTAACTAAAATTGTCACCGCTAAGGAACTTTTAACTCATAAAGTGCCTTTAGAAAAGATCAGAAAAGAAGAAATGGAACATACTAAACAAGAAATGGAACAAGAAGGCAAATGATTCTCGTCCATTTTTTTCTCATCCATTTTTAAGTCAATTAGATTAATAAAGAGGAAAAATAACAAAGAATAGTGCTAAATAATAAAAGTTAGTCTAAAACAGAATACAAACGGGACGCTAAGCCACTGACAAATGAAAGCTAAACCAGTTTAAGTAGGAAAGATGAAAGTAGAAATTAAGCTAATACCAAGAGTTGAGCAGAGAGAAACTTCCCATGGTTAGTCACTGAGAACTATTTTCACTCTATTAGTAACTCCACTCCTCTATCAAAGACAGTATCACTTAACTAAGCCAAAACTGAACTATGAACTAAATACAGTTCACATTAGCCCAGTCCGACACCCTTGTTCTCTTATTACTCTAACATATTAATAACTTTATGATTTGAAAGAGTATTGCAGCATGACAGACCGATAAAACTATACGTTTTCTTATATTTTTTCCTCATAAAAATGCAGTCTCAGTTACACAAATGCGCAATATATAATAGATATCTGAAGTTTAAGAAAAAAACCAGGGATATAAAAATCAAAACACAGAAAAATTACACCCCCAGAAACAGTTTCAAAAAGAAAAATCCTATGGCAGTGTACACTATCTTCCAAACAGTTATTTCCCTTTGCCAGTAGATGGTGCTAATCTCCAGATGTGAGCACTGTGAGCCATTGTACTTAAATGAAGATGACTTTTCCAATTAGTGCATTCACAGACTCCCCGAGCTTAGCTTGCTAGGGCTTAAAGTAAACTCCAAAAATAATTTTATCTCTCAAATTAAAATCAAATGAAACAAATATTATATATATGTTCCCAACATTAAAACCTTAAAAAATAGTAAAATATACTGTGTCTCTAAGCAAGTTATCATTCTTTTTTATTTGAGAGTCTGTGAGAACAGAGACATTTGTATTTCCAGAATTCAAAACAATCTACTACATAAGCACAGACTAAAGGGTTAGATACCCTAGGTTTGAATCCCGGCTCCAACTAATAGGCAACCGAGACACCTTGGGCAAGTTATTTAACCTTTCTTGCCTCAGTTCCCTCATTTGTTAAATGAGAATAAAGTAGTACCTACCTTACAGGGTTCTAATAAAGTTTAAGAGAGATAATACATATAAAGTACTTAAAAAACTGGGACATAGTAAATACTGCATCAGTGGTTGTTATTGTTATTTTGGAATGACCAATAACACTAGAACCATTAAACATGCTCATCAGCAAAAGAAAAACATATAAACATAAATATAATGAATTATATAGCAGTAAGTGGGAACATAGTACAGCTACTACATGCAAGAACACAGGTGAATCTTAGTAACATAATGTTCAGTAAAAAAAAACAAGTTCTCATATGACTCATGATTAAATATAAAAAAATTAATATAAAGAATTTAGCTGACATATGGTAATAACTAAAAAAAATTAGTTATCAAATTTGTTACTCTACTAATAGTTTCCACTGCCACAAGTGCCCACTATTAATTTTTCCCATTGCTACTATGTTTAACATTTCCTTTTAAGACTAGTTACATATTCATTTAAAAATTAGCAAGGTAAAAAGAAACTTTAAGTGATCCTAACATGTATATGTCTCATTAATAAAGTTTTTTTTAATGAAAAGCACAGTTGTTTGTGTTAGATTTAACAAAGCACTCGCATTAGAATTACAACATTTTTTAAAATTTGATGAGTCAATTCTCTGCGGGATAACTGAATTTGATTTGCAAGAATCCAAAGCAATTTCTACCGACATTTTTTCTTCAGTTCAAAACGAAATTCAAAATAAATTAATGTTACATCTCATAAGGCTCAGAAAAACCCAACATAACATGAAAAGAACAATTAATAATATGAATCATAACACTTGGACTTTGCCGTAGTTGATCACAATCTTGATTTTTATCCTCTTGCACATCCGCATGTATGAGTTAGGTTCACAAGATAAACTGCTTGGAGCCAAATACTTGGTGCCTTTTGATATTTGAAATGTTTCCACTAAAGATACACTAAGACAATGGTAACAATAACTGCCTCTCGGAGAGGATAATAGAGCAGAGGATAAAAAAGAGGCATACTTTTGGGACTGAGTTGGTTCCTTTGCATATGTATTAACTTTTAAGAACATAAAATATTTTTTAATTCCATTTCCTAATAAATTACAAAACAACTTTTTAAATATCTAATAGTTCACCATAATGGCAGCTTACCAGATTGAAGATGCCAGTAATACGTTAGTGTTGTTTGCAAGAAACCTCAATGGAGGCTCTGCAAGCAGTACACAGGATAAAATTCCTCCACCAAAACAGTGGAGCATAGCAGTAAACCAACTTGAAACAGGATTCTTCCATGCCACCGCCACTGCTCCTGAAATGGTAAAGTAAAAATGTGACCAGAGATAGTTGTATATTAAACAAGTCCCAAGGTACCAGTAGCAAGAAAGAAATAGCAACTTCTTAATTTCATAATTTTCAAGAATTTATCATTGCTCATAGGTGGGACAATCACAATCATAAAACATATCTTTTGTTCTTTAAATCAAAACTTAAAACATTTTCTTAAGCCCTGGCCAGTGTGGCTCACTTGGTTAGAGCACCATCTCATAGACAGAAAGCTTGAAGGTTCAATTCCCAGTCAGAGCACATGCCTGGGTTGCAGGTTTGGTCCCCAGTTGGGATGTGCAGGAAAAGCAACCAATCCATGTTTCTCTCTCACTTCGATGTTTCACTCCCTCTGTCTCCCTTCCCCCTCTCTAAAATCAATAGGTCCTTGGATTAGGAATTTAAAAAAACATTCTGTTAAAACATGGGTGACTTGGGGCAACTTTAAAATACTCTGTTCAAGCTCTTATCGCCAGTTTCCTAGCAGCAGATTATTATAAACAATCTTCCCACCTACTGTTTCCTTTCATCCTCAACCCTAATGTAAGTACTCCCAGTTGATACGTTAAAAAGATACATTAAGAAAAATTTATAATATTAATTTAAAAAATGAAAGCTGAAATAAACTAAGCTTTCAAAAGGACAGGCTAGAAACAGAATAAAATAAACCCAAAAGTGAAAAGTTGATGAGGAATGAATATTTACATCATCACAAAATGTCTCCTAAAAGATTACTTATTAATTATAGGGAAATAATAACTTTATAGAATGAAGAAGCCTTGTAGATATCAATGTAAACAAACAACATCGAGTGACTGATATAATGCACTAAGAACAAACACATCATTACTTCTGTGGTATTTCTACCAAAAATATGTAACTTCAACTAATCTAATCAGATACACCTAAATTGAGAGCTATTTGGAAAAAGAAAAAAATACCTGGCCTACACTTTAATGATGTCAAAGTCGAGAGGCTGATGAAATACTTCAGATTAAATGACATTAAAGAGACAACGACCAAATGCAATGCATGTCTAGATCGTGTCATAGAGTAGAAAAGAATATTTTAAAAAGGACCTTTTCAAATTGATGAAATCTAAATATGAATTGTGGCTTAGAAAACAGTATTGTATCACTATTAAACTTCCTGGTTTTGATATTTGTACTGTGGGTCTTAAAATAACATACTTAATTAGAAATACTGAGCAAAATGCCTCCAATTTATACTCAAGTGGTTCTAAAAAAATTAATATGCAAAAATAAGAACAATCAGAGAGTGAATGCTCAAGTACAAACTACTAGTTATAATATGAATAAATTCTGAGGATCTAATGTACAGCATAGCAACTATAGTTAATAACACTGTAGAGTACACTTGAAACTTTCTAAGAGAGTAGAAATTGTTTTGTGTTGTCAACAAACAAAAAAAGGTAACTATGTGAAGTAAAGGATGTGCTAATTAACTTGATTGTGGCAATCACTTCACAATGTGTATGTCTATCAAATCATCACATTGTACACTTTACATACACTTTTGTCTCAATTACATACACAATTATACCTCAATAGATCTGGGAAAAAGTAAATAAATAGGGCTAACTTTAAGTATACTAACCCATGAACAGCATGGGTTTAAATTGCTTGGGTCCCCTTATATGGATTTTTTTCAGTAAATATATTGGACCTTTTTTTTATTGGTAACGATTTGAAAAAACTTGCACATGAACCAAGTAGCCTAGAAATATCAAAAAAAAATAAGAAAAAGGTATGTCACAAATACATGTAATATACAAAATATGCATTAATCTACTGTTTATGTTATTAGTAAGGCTATTACTAATCAACAGTAGGTTATTAGTAGTTAATTTGGAGGGTGGGTGTCAAAAGAAACACAGATTTTCAACTGGGGGGGATGTCAATATCCCTAACCCTCACTCTGTCTGAGGGTCAACTGTACTTGGGGAATGTGGGTAGAGGATATGGGAGTACCTTGACCTATTCTGGCAACCTTTCTGTAAGTTTGAAATTATCAAAGGAAAAAGTACGAAACAATGAAAAAAATAAACTCAGCAAGAGAAACAGAAGTAACTTATAAAAATAAAAGTAAAAATTAATTAAATAGATGCTAAAATAAAAAGATAAAGATGGGCAATAAAATAAAACCAACCAAAAGCTGTTATTGAAAAAGACCAATAAAGCAGACCATTGCGCAGCATTGTGTAACATTAAAAAAAGAAATTTTAGTTAGGGAGCTTTTTAATTAAAGGAAAACATGTATTTAACAAAGGTGAAGATATGTTGGAAATGGACAACTTTTTAAGAAACTATATATTAGCAAAAACCTGAACATACAAATAACTGTGGGAGAAATTTACAAGGCAGTCAAAGATATAAAGAAAACTGCTAGACTCAGATAAATTAATTGGAAATAACTGAAAAACATTTACCAAGTTGTTTTGGATTACTCATTTTTATACCTTATAACCATTATAGAGTTTAACAAAGGAGAAAAACTTAAGTCATTCTATTAAACAACATAATCCAACATCAAAAATTATAAAGAAAACAAACAGAATGAGAGGAAGGAGGAAGAAAACAAGTCAAGGAGGAAGGAAGGAAAGGAAAAGAGGTCGGGAGAGAGAAAGGGAAAAAAGATACATACTATAATTCTAATTTATGAGTATTAATGCACAAATACATTAATAACAAATTGAAGTCAGAAGTTTTTGAAGGAGAATAAATCATCACCAAGTAGATTTTATCCAAAGAATTTAATGAATTCAATTCAGAAATTCATTGAAATCATTAACTATACGAACAAATTATTATGATCACTCCTTTAGTCAGACAGTAAAAAGTCACCCAATAAAAATTTAACATTCCTAATTTTTTAAAAAGAACTACTAATTTAACAAAAGAAAGAAAAGTACTTAACCTGAATAAAGCCAAGAAGGAAAGATTTAGAAATCGGACTTCATTAAAGTTTAAATTTTCTATATGACAAAAGAGTGGAATAAACTGTTTTTCAACCTACTTATGGCAAATTCCAATAAATCAATAGAAAACAAAACAGAACAGAAAAATGGGCAAGTCACAAAGCAGGAACTATAAATGACCACTAAATATACCAATAAAAAACATCTTCAACTCTTTCATAATCAAGGGGAAACAAAATAGGACAAGATGTTATATCACACACACTAAGCAAAAGAAATTATAGCTTAATATTAATAAATTGGCAAAAGTGTGAAGAAATTCATATACCGTTGTGAGAGTATAAATAAGTAAAGGCATTTTGAAAAACAACTTGGAAGCATCAATTTTTATCCAATTACACTTTACTTTCAGTATTATTTTGTATTGGTTTCGGGTATGCGGCATACTGGTAAGGCAATCATAGACTTTACAGTGTCCTCCCATTATTTCCAATACCCAGCCAGCACCAAAGTTATTGCAATATTACTGACTATTGTCTCTATACTGTATTTTATCCCCATGACTATTTTTTAACTTCCAATTTTTACTTCTAAATCCCTTCACCTCTTTCACCTGTTCCACTAACAACCCTGCCCCCTGATAATCAGCAATCCACTCTCTGTCTATGAATGTTTCAACTTTGTTTATTTTGTTCTTTGGATTCCACATATAAATCATGATATTCTTGGGTTTTCTACTTTGTGCCACTACATCCAAGTATGTTTTTATGCCATTTCCATGCTTGATTACTGTGGCCTTGTAGTATAGTTTGTTATCAGGTAGCGTAACTCCAAGTCTCTTCTTTTTCAAGATTGCTGAGGCTATTCAGGATCTTTCATGGATGCATATAAATTTTTTGACTATTTGCTCTATTATGTGAAATATTGGTATTTTGATAGGAATTGTGCTGACTCTATAGATTGTTTTGGGTAGGAAAGATATTTAATGTTAATTCTTCTTATTCATGTACACAATATATGCTTCCATTTGTTTGTACCTTCTTCAAGTTCTTTCTTCAGTACCTTATAATTTCCCGAGTACAGGTCTTTTACATCCTTGGTTAAATTTATTCATAGGGGTTTTTTTAATATAACTGTAAATGAAGTTATTTTAAATCTTAAGTTTCATTTATGACAGTTCAGCACTGGTATATAAAAATGAAACTGATACCTGAATATAAATCCAGTATTCTGCTACTTTACTGAATTCTTTTATCAGTTCCAGCAGGTTTTAGTGGAATCTTTCAGGTACTCTATATACAGTATCATGCCATATGCAAATATTGACAATTTTATTTCTTCCTTTCCAATTTGGTTGCCTTTTATTTTTTCTTCTTGGTCTGATTGCTGTGGCTAGGACTTTGAGTTCTATGTTGAAGAAGAGCGGTGAAAGTGAACAATCCTGTTTTGCTCCTGACCTTAAGGGAAACATTTTTAGTTTTTCCCTGCTGAGTATGATGCTGGCTGCGGGTTTGTCATATGTGGGCCTTACTATGTTGAGGTATGTTCCTTTATTTCCACTTTGCTGAAAGTTTTTATCATAATTGGTGTTGAGTATTGTCAAATGATTTTTCTCCCTACATTGATAAGACCATATGATTTTTATCCGTAATTTTGTGATGTATCGCAGTAATTGATTTGCAGTTATTGTATCAACCTTGCATCCCAAAATAAATCTCACTTAATCACGGTGTATGATCTTTTTAATGTATTGCTGGATTTGGTTTGTTAATATTTCACTGAGGATTCTTCCATCCATGTTTATCAGGAATATTGGTCTATATTTTCTTTCTTTGAAGTGACTTTATCTGGTTTTGGAACTAGAATAATGCTAGACTACTAAAATGAATTTGAAGTCTTCCCTCCTCTTGAATTTTCTGGAATAGTTAGAGAAGAATAGGTGTTAGTTATTCTTTGAATGTTTGGTAAAATTCACCTGTAAAGCCATCAGGTCCAGGACTTCTGTTTGCTAGAAGTTTTTTCATTACTGCTTTGATTTCATTAGTTGT